CCACATGACAGACATCGGGACCTAGGGCACTGCTGTGCAATAGGCATCTGAGGGAGCTTCATGTTTGCCAGACTGTGTGCCCTGATCCCACTGCCAAGCTGACTCAATGAAAAATCAAATGCAGCAAGAAATCAGTAGCCATTTAAGAACAGAGATGGGCTAAATCAAGCTGTCGGCAATGCCAAATCGTTGGCGCGGATGGGCTGCGAGTATGCTGGAGAGACGGAAGCGCAGCTGAGGCCCTGCGGCGCCGAGAGCTTTCTAGGCTGATCTGGCTCAGGCTGTCCCCTCTGCCGCATTCCCTGAATGCTGGGCACCATCCACCATCTCCTCTAAGGAGGCCCTGGAGCCCCCGTAGTGGAGCAGAGGGTGGAGGGCCTCGCCCGACAGCCAGCACAGCAACTTCCCCTGCACCCGAGGTCCCATGGGAAGGCATCGTGAGCACCCCCAGAACAGATCACGAGTAGCTTCTGGAGATAAGCACAAGGTCTAAAGAATGGCAAATCCCAACTGAGAGAGAGGTGCAAGGCCTTGCAGGCCCCACAGAATGCTCCAAGCTGGTGACTCTGCACGGTGACAGTGTCATGGCTGGTCAGAGATGCGTGGACATTCTGTGGGGCTCCAACTGGCCACAACTTCCCCAACATGGCACAGGCTGCATCCTCGTGATGTCCACCTTGGGCACAGCCCTGTCCTGTAAGTGCAGCCAGAGCATGTCAGGGTGCCATGGGGTGTGCAGAGGCCACAAGCTTCAGCAGCCAAGCCAGGCCTACATCACAGATGGGGCCAGAGGATGGGGCCAGCATAAGGGGCCAGAGGATGGAGCTAGTGGATTGGGCTGGTGGACAGGCACTGTCCCAGCCATGATCAGTCCATGGTTAAAGCCACGGAACAATGAGGTCCCAGCAGAACCAGACCATCTGGTATTTGCTGATGATTGATAAAGTTAACAAAAAAGTGTTAGTAGTGAACAAAATGCCTAGGAGATCAGTAAGGACATGGAAGATGTGGGCAGCATCACATGCCAAAGCATCAGCACGGCACAAGGGACATTCTCCAGGACAGACCATGGAAGGAAGGCCAAAAAAAAATTCTCAAAGTTGAAAAGATTTAAAGTTACAGCTACCTTCTCTGACCACAGAGGAATGAAGCTAGCAATCTGGAAATCCAGAAAATTCACTAATGTATAGAAAACCAACACTCTTGACAAGCCAGTGGGTCAGAGGAAGGAGTTAATAAACTCTTTGAGACAAATGAAAACAAAAATACAACATACTAAAACAGTAACTAGTAAATCCAAGTAGAATTTATCCCAGAGGACAGGTATGTATAGTCCATCCTGAAAATCAATTGATGCAATACACCCCATTACTGGAACACAGGATCATCTCAATGGATGCAGAAAAGGCGCTGATACAATCCAATATCCCCTCATGATAAAAGCATCATTATACTTCCCAAGGTGACACACATAGTCAATGTGTCCTTATCAATTGCCAGAACCTTTGTTTCCCTCCAGAAATGGAAAAGCTGATGCTCAGTTTCATTTGCAACTGGAAGGGATCCTGAAAAGCCAAAATGATCTTGAACAAGAAGAATGCAGCAGGAGACATCGCACTTCCCAATTTCAAACCTAACCACAAAGCCATAGTCATCAAATAGTGTGGCCTGGGGTGAGGACTGGTCCATGAAAACAGGGACCAGAAAATGTGTCGATGGCCAGTGGGTTTTGACAAGGGCGCCAAGACCCTTCAGTGGGGTGGGGAGAACAGTCTGCTCCACAAATGGTACTGGACAAGCAGACATTCACATGTGGAATGCAGCTGGACCACACCTCATGCTGTGCATAAAAATCAACTCAAAATCATGGTCTTAGAAGAAAACACTTTACCCATTTTTTAAAAATGATTTGTTCTAATAAATCATCAAACCTCAGGGGGTTGCAGAAGTCCTAGAGGTCTAGGGACCTGGCAGGGCTGGTGTCTCAGGAGGGGGGCAGTCCTGTTGGGGACCAGGCCCTTTAGCTTGTGGTGTCTGTGTTAACAGTCATTGCCAGAACTGCACTGGAGTTCCCTAGCTGGGCTAGTGTCAGGACTGCATCAAAGCACCGAGAAGGTCAAAAGGCAGCCTAAGGAATGAGACAAACATTTGCAAACCAGGAAGCTGACAAGGGAGTGAGATCTAGAATACATAAGAACTCCTACAACTTGACAAGCAAAAGGACTAACATCCAGTTAATGGATGGAAAGAGAACTCTGCTAGACATATCTCCAAAGACGACTGCAGACGGTTAGTATGCTCATGGAAAGACGCTTCTCATCCTTAGCCATCAGGGAGATGCAGGTCAAGCCACCAGAGACACGACGCCACACTACCAGCGGGGCCATGACAATTTAAAAACTTCAGAAAGGCAGGTAAGTGCTGGCATGCTATGGAAAAATTGTGACCCTGTGTTTTGCTGGTGGGGACATGAAATGGAGCAGCCACTCTGGAAAAGTCTGGCAGCCCATCGAAACAACACAGAATTATCCCACGACGGAGCAATTCCACTCCCTGGCACATGCCCCAGAGTTGAAAGCAGGACTCAAGCAGAAACTATATGAGTGCTGCCAGCTGCCCGAGGGTGGAAGCCCAAGTCCACCCATACAAGGGAGAACAGAATGCAGGCTGTGCATACAGAGGGCATATGCAGCCTGGAGGGGGTCGTGACTCATGCCACCAGACACAGCCTGGATGTGCCCGGGAAGAAGAGTGGGATGCAAGGACAAACCTGGCTGCACTTTTACAGGCAGGAGGCTGGAGGGGCCCGGTGGGTGGGTGGGGCCTTGCCTCGTGGGGACCCCTCTGCTTTGGGTTGAGTAGCCCCAAGATCAGGCGCATTCTGAGTCACAACCTAAGACGGCAGAAGTGACCAGTTTGTGTCCAGTGATCTGCTACTATACACACAATGGTGATGTCCGTGGGACACTACACAAAGCCACCAAGTACTCGGCTTTGAGACTCAGGGTTCACGCAAATCCTGACCCACAGGAAAACATCTGGGAAGGAGCCATGCCCAGGCATCCCCTGCTCCCCTGCACAGCCAAGCAGCTGCCCTGGGAGGCGCTCTGGACCCCTGCACCCCATGCACGGTCCCTGTGGGCAGTGGGGAGATGGCACTGCAGGCATCTGGGCTGCAAGCTTCCAACATGGTATGCCGCATCAGGTCTGTCAGCTGCAGGGGACACGTAGCTGCACACCTGGCAGGTCCTCTCATGTGGAACTGTTGTACAGACCAGAACTGTAGCTGGGGTGGTGGCCATGTTGTGAGGTGGGCCGGTGTGCTGCAGGCAGTGCAGGAGGCACAGGAGCCCACAGCAGCCTGGGCCGGGCTGTAAGCTTCCCTCCTGCCTGTCCAAGCAAGGCTCCAGGTTAACCATCAGAGCGGACAGGAAAACCTCAGTGCACGTCTACCAGGAAGGTGTGATGTTTCTCCCTCGGGGTGGCCCCTGCAGCAGGCTACTGCTACAAGTCAGTACCCTCACACTTCAAGGTGGAGGCTGAGGCTGGGGAGGGGCAGCTGGCTGGGTGGGCTGGGACCCCGGTCCGGGCTTGTTCTGAGATGCCATATGTGCACTCAGAAGTCCCTCAGTGAAGTCCCTCGGCACCCTTACCACGGAGATGATTTAGAGTGAGGCATCATGAGTGTATATGAGCAACTCACAAGGTGACAGATGCCAAGACGAGTAGCCTGGTTCATGGCCGACATTGGCTGGTATTGGAGCCACAGAAAGCAGCATTCCAAAGCCCCCCAAAGCCAGCACTTTCCTGCCCCGAGAGGAGCAGCCGGGGAAGGGCCCAGAGGGTGGAGCAGATGGCAGGGGCCTGCCAGGTCAGTAGACACATGTGGCTCTCCATGTGTCGCCCTGGCGCCCACTCCAGCTGAGGCCTGCATGCCCACCTAGTGCCAGCCATGCTCTCCAGGCCCCCCAGCTGAGCTGCCCCACTACCCAAGAAGGGCTTCCTGGGCGCAGCGTCCTGGGTTACAGATTCCTGGAGCACACCTTCTCAGAGCATGCTTTCTCAGGGCACAGATTGCTGGAGTGTGGTTTCCCAGAGCATGCCTTCCTGGGTTGTGCCTTCCTCAAGTGCAGATTCCTGGAAGGCAGATCCCTGAGGCATGGATTCCTGGGGCACATATTCCTGTCTGAGGCTCCCCACGGCATGGATTCCTGGGTGCAGATTCCCAGGGTATGGATTCCTGGGGTGCACCTTTCCAGGGCATGGTCTGGATACTGCAGCTATTCCCTATTGCATAGCTGTCTGGTGGCTGCCTATAGGAACCCAGACCTGCTGTGCCTGCAAGTGGAGTTGACACAAGGGAAACCAGGCTAACCATCCTGATGACAGGTTTCTCTGGGACTGAAGAACATCTGTAACAGGACTCACGCACATGGATAAGGGATGTGGGAGATGACTGAGCTTTTTCCTGACTAGAGGGGGTATAAACGAGCGAGGAAAAATTAAAAACAAGGGTATGGAGGACAGGGGAAAGGCCAGGATGGTGAGTTAGCCTGGTTTAGAAGATGAACTGTGTTCTGTTTCTAAAAAAAAAAGAAAAAAGGACATAATTTCTATGGTAGTTTCACAGTAAGTAGATTGTTTCAGGAAGGTTTCGGTGAATCTGCCAGCAGATATATGGGGGGCTTGGCAGAGAGGGTGGGGAGGTGTGGGGGGATATGGGGATGGGGGCATGGGGGACACAGGGAAGATGGACACAGGGACAGCAGGAAGGGGGACATGGGGATGGGATGGGGGCCATGGGGACAGAGAAAACAGGGAAGGGGACATGGGGATGTGGGATGTGGGGATGCAGAGACAGGGGACGGGCCCTTGCTCCTGTCCCCACCAGTTACTCTCTGGTCACAGTGGCACCAGCTCTTTGCCAACAAATGGATGGATGTTCAAATGAGCTGAACACCTGAGTCCACACCCATGGCCCTCAGGATGGGGACAAGGACTGCTCTGGCCATGCCTCATAGGCCACGTGAGGCCACACCAGCTCCTCTCTGTCCCTCTTCAGTGAGGGGGTGGGTGCAGAGATCCCAGTATGGGACAAGACTGCCCAGTGGGAGGAGGACCGATGACAGGATGGTGTGGGGCTCAGACAAAGGTGCAGCACTGAGGTTGAGGTGGCACGTGGACTCACCCCAGCATGTCCGGCTCCACTGCAGCCCTGTCTGCCTCCCACAGCTGCACAGCATGGCCAACCACAGGCTCCTGTGCTGGCGCAGAGCAGGTGTGCCACTCCCATCCCAACAACAGAGTAAGTCACGGATAGCCAAGAGCATCTGTGGCAGAAACCCAGTGGGATGGAGTGGATCTTATGTTGCTGTTTTCCCCAGAAATTTAACTCACTCCTACCTAGGCGTGAGCTTCGACTGCTAAGCTTAGTATTCTCAAGTTCCCTTGGACACACTCTGTGACACCAGGCTCTCTCAGCAGGAGTGGGGGGGGGGCAGCTGCCCCCAGTCTGCCCATGATTGCCCTTCCTTGGCCCTGACACCCACGTCCGCACTCAGCCCACAGGCCTGCTGCTACCAGTAAGATGCCCAGCTCTCATCCAGAGCTGCTGGCAACGGGCTGACGGTGTAGATGTGCCCTCTTATGGGGAAGGCTGGATCCTTGCTGATCATGGGGAGCACCTCTTCACCATGGCTGCAGGGCATGCCTCCTGCCATGTGTTCAGGGAGGACACATTGCATGCAGCCATGGGGATGGATGCCCCTCAAAGCACAGACACAATTCTCACACTTCCTCCAGAAGGCTGTAACCCCACTTGAGCCCCAACACAGCAGGACCAGAGCATATCCCAGCCACAGATACCCCTGTGGGAGGGTGGGAGCAGGGTCCCAGATGCCCTACCCCATGCCCGGAGATCCCTGCTCCCTCAGGACCGCCGGGCACCTGCCTCCACAGGACTAGGGCTCTGCAGCCCACAGCTGACTCCATCATCAGGGTCCCAGACCCAGGGGGCATGTCCAGTAGGTGGTTGGGGGCCTGGGTTGGCAGCCTGAGGTTGGGTGTCTGCATCAGGGCCTGTGTTGGGGGCTACAGTCAGGGATCTGGGTTGGCAGCCTGAAGTTGGGTGTCTGCATCAGGGCCTGTGTTGGGGGCTGGGGTCAGGGACCTGGATTGAGGGCCTGTGGTTGGCCAGATGTGGGGAAGCAGCCCTCCTGTGTCATTACTAAAAGTGACTAGATTGGACTAGGAAGAGAAAGTGACAAGTTGCAAGTAGTTGAAATGCCCCAGAAGGGACAGGGCTGTGCTTTCAGAAGTCCACATTGATGCAGACATAACAAGAGCCCTTCCTCAAGGACAGGGTTTAAAGACAGTTTTCGTGTACCAGTGGAGGTGCTCCATGCTGCCCATGGCACGGCCTCTCCAGGCAGAGCCTCTGGAGCTGCAAGCTGAGCCAAAGACCCACCACAGGACGGGCGGAGAGCGAGCTGCGTGCCACTGGGGAAACTGAGTCAGGAAGCTGCGATGTAGAATCTTGACATGACAGATGGCTCAGCGTTCCCAATAAGTCAACTGCAAGGGTAAAATCAGAGGGCGGAGGTAGGCCAGCCCTGCAGGCAGCTCCCTGAGTGTGTGCACAGCCTTGCAAGGGCCTGACCCGACCCAAAGAGCAGTGCGTCTTCTGGGGGAGGAGGCCGGGGTTCCAGCTCACTCTTCACAGGCAAGCATGGTGTTTCCGTGTTTGTTTTAACAGTTCTCATCTTTTAAAGATGCACATGGCAACATTAACGAATGAAACACTATGCTATCCAGGTATTTGTTTCCAAGCCATTGCCAGTGTATCTCAGGAAGACCAGCTGAAGTGGTCTATTAAATACTGTTCCCGTTTCAATCCTGGACAAAGTGGAAGCCTCCTCAAGAATCCAGGTCCAGGCCTTGAGAGAGACGGGACAGCAGCACCCTCAGTGTATGTGCCCCTGTGGAGTGCACACACACACACATGGACACATGCACACACATATGTGTACAGAGGACACAGTGCACACATGTACAGACAGCACACACACTGGGCACACACAGAGCACACAGCACACATGGATGCACACTGAGCATGTGTACAGAGCACATGCATGGACATGTAGAGCACACACATCCAGCACGTGTGTACACAGAGCCTGAGTGCATGCATACATGTAAGCATGCACATAGCACATATATGCTCATAGGTGTGCACGTGTGCAACAGGTGGCTTTGTGCGCAGAAGCACTGTGTCCTTGCATGATGTTGAGCACAAGGGACCTGCAGCAGGTGCTGTTCTTCCCTCCACCAGCTACCAGAGCAGAGCTGGTGGGGGACTCCTGGCAGGTCCCTGTAGGTGAGAAGCAGGCATCACCAGTGGGGAGTTGCCTTAAAGAGGAAAAAGTGAGTGGCCTAGGGGGACATACCACGTGGCGCATGTTACCTGTCCCAGCTCCTGGGTGTCTCCCTCGGAAATGAATGGCATGCTGCTCTGCACTGAAGGCAGCCTGCTGTCCGGGCTCCCCGAGGAGGGCTCACAACACCCTGCATGGTCCATTAGCTCAGATGCTGGAAGGGAAAGTCGAATGGCAGTGATGTCTTCTAGTGGGACCAGCACAGACACCCAGACTTTCCAAGGAGGGATGCTGGACTCCCCAGGCTCGGTGGGCCCACCGCTCTACTGGTCCCCACCCCTGGCCTGCCAGGGTCCGTTTCTGCCCACCTCCCACCCATCTGGGCTGCCTCCCTCCCACCCTGGGCAGAGCATGCAGCACTGAATACTTGGCTGCCTCCTCAGCCAGCTCTGGAAGGAAAGCCCCTTTATTGTTACAAAAAGACTACCGACTTGGGGTATAACCTCTAACACTCAGGGCCCTGGTGACGTGCACAGCAACACACCAGCGGGCCTCACCTGCAGAGTGCTGCAGGCCCCAGAGCACGGGAATGGCCAGCCAGGGAAAGTCAGCACTGCCTGGCCAGGCTCCACTGGGGGTTCTGCTCCTGCACCTGTGCTGGTAAACCTTGTGGAGGAGCAGTGAGAGGGAGGACAGCAGGCAGGGTGCATAAAGAGAGGCTCAGCCTCCCACTGCAGGCCACCGACCTGGGTATGGGGCACTGCCTCTGGCGGCAACCCTGACACTGCAGGGTCCATGGCACCACAGTCTGCTAACCTCTGCTCCAAGTGCAGACCCCATATACACTTCATACCTACTCAAGGGTGCACGGGGTGGAACAGGGTCTGGAGCCCAGCCCAGTACCTCTGAGCAGCCTTCTCTGCTTCAGCAGAACAGGGCCAGGGGACTGATGGAGAACCCATACTTCCCCAGGACCCTCCTGGCAGGGAGCAGAGCTGCCAGGACAGTCAACAAATGCACCCAGGAGAGCAGAGGTGAGGAAATCCGCTGACACCACCTGCCCAGCCCTGCTCTGAGGAGACTGCCATCCCCCCATACACAAAATCCCCCCCGATTCTACCCTTGACACAACTACAGATTCACCATCCCCAAGAGTATCTAGCAGAGCAGGAAAGAACAGTGGCTCTCAAGGAATGCGCAGGCAGGAGGGACGGCTCCTTGGTTCCAGAAAAGCAGCTGTGGCCACAGGACCCCACCCCCACTCGGGGCTGCAGGTCCTCAGAGCCCTTTACCCACCCTATGGGTTCACAGGACGGGGCCTGCATATCAGGTCAGGACTCTGCTACCTGAGAAGAGGGTCTCTCGTGAGTGGCTGCCTGGAGCCTGCCCTGCCCTGCCCTGAACTTTTTACAGTCGTACATGGTGTGTGTGGTGCCCTTGGACCCAGCCCGCCCTAGGTGCTGGGGATGTGTGAGGAGAGCAGACCTGGGCTCCATGCTTGTGGCCAGTGTGAGAACAGTGGGCAGAGGCCACATGCACGCCCCACCCTGGTGGGTGCTCAGGGATGGCTTGCCAGAGGGGCAGTCAGCAAATTCTGAGCCATGAGTGGGGAGAATCTTAGTCATGTTCTGCATGGACCTCCCTGTCATGTGTCCCCAAGCCAGCCTCCCTGTGGATCTGAGCCAAGATGAGACCCGACCCTGGGGAGGGCACTGTGCCAAACCTGGCCCCTCCCGAAAACCTCAGGGCGGTCAAACAGGGAGAGGCTCAACTGTCAGGCATGGAGATGCCCCAGTGTCAGGTGGGGTCCTGGGTGGGATCCTAGAGATGTAGATCTTAGGGTCATGGGCCCCGGAGAGGAGCTGTACACCCTTTCCCAGGCATACTGGCCATGTCCATGTCAGGTGGCAGCTGTGGGGATTGGCAAGGGAGACCCAGACACCCCCCCCACACACAACTTCTGCAGTCTGACCTTGTCCTGGCTGTAAAGGTCATTTCAAGGGTACACTCCAAACACCAGCCCCTGGAAGATATCACCCACTGAAGCCAGCAGATACTCCTGCACCCCTGGTACTGGTCTGGCCATGCACATGCCACCACATAGGCCCAAGAAGTTCTGGACACTGACCAGCAAACGGTTCCCATCGCTAGATGCTGCCCTCTGGCCATGCTTTTTCCCAAACCAGCTCCTGGGCCCACCTGAGAAGTTGGACTCAAGGTTCTGCTCCACTGCTTGAGGTTTCCAACATGGGCCGTGGTAGCTGCAAGCACAGCAGGGGTGAAGAGGGAGCTCCTGGTGTTGGCCTGCCACTTAGTGCTATGCTGCCATGACCCAGGATGCTCTGGCCCCTGCAAACCCATAGCTGCAGGCACACCACCCACCAGCCCAGGTGGTCTTGCCAGGGTGCACGGCCCTTCCTGCCCAGTCCGGTGCAGACACTGTGGGACCCTGCCCAGAGGCTAGAGTTGGCACTCCTCACCCTGGACATATTCAGCTTACACCACGCAGACAATCGCCACTGAGCTGGCGGCCCGGGCATCACTCAGTTCAACCCTGATCTGGGCTATGCTGGGAAGATGAGTATATAGGTGGTGAGCCCGGGGCGCACTGGCTTTAGGGTGGCCTGGCTGAAGCATGTGAAGGGCCCCCAGGGAGACCTGCATCTAAGGAGGAACACCCTTCCCACCGGCTGGCCTGTGGGGCATACACTTGCCCACTGGCCTGCTGTCTGACCATGGCACAGAGGCCTGGGGCCGGCCTCCTGCTCTTCTCTGCCCTGTCTGCCTCCAGCCAGCCATCCTACCTCCCACAGTGCCTGTCTCACACTCTTCCCATGGGCTGGCATCTGTACCACGCCTGGCACACTCACATCTGCTACCTTATGATTATCCAACCGAGCGGTCTTGGGGCCACTTGCCTGACATAAAGCCCGTGAATGTGCCGGAACCACACAAGAACAAGGACTGTGGGCTTGGCACTGCCCGGGCAAGGGGCTGCCCCATCAGCACCAGCGGACGATAGCCGACCTGGTGTCTGCCTGCAGCCCTGGCCCGTGCCTCTACTCCAAGGGCCTCTCCAAGAGTGTGGGGGTGACCCCGCTGGCTTGGGTATCAGAGAGATGCCCAGTCAGGCTTGCATGGGCCCGTGCATAAGGTCCCTCTGGTCAGGGTCTTGCATTGCTGGCACAGCCCACACTTCTGGCTCTTCTATGAGATGGCTTCTGTGTCCTGTCTTGAGTGAGGAGCCAAAGAAATCCAGAATTGCCAAGAAAGTAAGTTTTACATTAAGTTTTTCATTAACATTCCTAGCATGTTGGTACTGGGGACAAAGCTATTGTAGCATATTTCTCTCTGAAACGTGAATCCACCCGGAATAACACTGAATGCCAGACAGGAGGCACGGGGTCAGATAACACGAAGTTACCTACACCTGGGGGTGGGGGGTCAGATAACACTGAGTCACCCGCAACAGGGGGAGGAGGGCAGGTAACACTGAGTCACCCCCACTGACAGGGGAGGGGGCAGATAACACCGAGGGGGGCAATAATACCAAGTCACCCCCCACCAGGGGGCGGCCAGGATGGGGGACCCTCAGAATGCATGTTCTAAGTGGTGTAAGTACATGCCCTGCTTCATACCAAACATGGAAGCCAAGCCCATCTACAGCCACCATACCCCGCACAGACCTGGCAGGTAACACCATGGTGATGCTGCCAGGAAAGGAAGGGTTTCAAATACATACATTAACTGTGATTCATTTTTCAGATTCCAGTACCTAAACACAGATCTCAAGGGTGTGTGGGAAGATCTGGATTAATGCCCAAGAATCTGGGAAGATGCTGGGTCAGGGGTGAGGGAATGGATGCCTCCAGAGCAGGCAGGCATGGTGCTAGGTAAGACCCTGGGTGCTGGGTCTCCCATCACACAGTGGGAAGAGGTGAAACCACCTTACTTGAAGCTTGCCTTTGTTCTGACAGGGTCACCAAAACCCACTCTGACCAAATTAGAAACCCACGTGGTTCTCAAGCATGTTATGAATCTGAGCAATTAAGACTTGCAGATAGCAAATTCTAAGGAAAATGTTGTGAAATTATTTTTATTAATGAGTAAACAGGCAGGAACAAGTGAGCAGAAAAGCCATCAGCTGCTCTGAGTGATGCATTATGTTAGGTGTGCTCATGGTGCACCAAGCGTGGCTGCAATGCCAGAGGTCTGTGCGGGTTGTTTCAATGCTCACTCACCTGCGTGCCAGAGTGAGTAGCCCTTCTCTGCTGCGGAGGAGGTTCCAGTGCTTCTGGGCATCAAGGTGCTGTCTAAAAACTCAATCTTCTTGCTGAACTGCACTTCCAAAATGGGGATCACCTCTGGCATCTTGGCAGATATCAATTGGTAAGCTATGTCTGGCTTCCCAATGAAGCGCTGGCGGATGCTGATTTCATAAGGTGTGAGAACCTTAATGTCATCTACATCTTCTCTTTCAAATCTGTGCACGAGCAACGAATCTGCGTTGTGGATTTCCAGCCCAGAGACAAGGATGGTGAACCTCCCTGATTTAACATGCGATTCTGTTCCCTGGGAAATGAGAGCAGGAATGTTGATCACTATTCCTTCTTTTCCAAAATCTTTGGAACTAACGACGGAGGTGCCTCCCCTGGGCTTTGTTTCTGATGGCATCTTCCAACTCTTGGAGCTAAAGGGCCACCAAGGAGATTCCAGTTCTGTCAGTAACCTAAAAGAGCCAAGAAAACACAGGACACTGGTCAGCTGAGTTTTAACTGAAAGGCTTATCGGGGATATCATACTCAGCTTTACGATATTGGGCAATAAAGTAAATTGGACAACTTATGTGAAATACACAAAACATTTGAAAAGCCCACCATAACTGAGGCAAAAAAAAGGCAAGAATTTGAATAGCCTCCCAAAGAAATTGAACCTGTAATTTAAAATCCTGCCACAGAGAAAACTATGGTTCAGACAGCTTCACTGATGAATTCTGCCAAATAAATGAGGAAGAAATAATAAGAGCAGTATACCAACCCTTTCAAAGAGTAGAGCAAGAGAGAATGCTTTGCCCATGCAGCTGACAAGCCCATTGTCACTCCTAGGCCAAAACCCAATGGGGGCATCAGAAGAAGATGAGCCCAGAGCAGCAGCCCTCAGCAGCTCACACGCGATTCCTTCCAAGAATGTTGGCAGGTCGAATCTAACACTATGTAAAATAAAGAACACTCTATCACGACTAAATGGCATTAATCCCAGGAAACTGAGGCTGGTCTAACACTGTAAAATCAACACAGTTCATGTCATTGGTAGAAAAAAAAAGAACTGTATCATCATCACAAAAGTTACAGAAAAAGAATCTGACAAAATTCAACACTCACTCATGTTAAGGCTTCCAGCAATAGAAATGGAGGAAATTTCCTCAGTCTGATAAAGGACACCTATAAAAAGTTACAGGCACCAGATGCCTAATGTTGAAAAAGCCAATTCTTCCCTCTAAGATCAGAAAGTAAAAAAAATAGGCAGACTTCCAAACTGAATTTTGAAAGCCTCCCCCAAATCACCCACAGACCTAACAGCAAAGGGCTGGCCTTCTCAGAACAAGGCTGACCACCAACTACACTGACCCTGGGACAAACCCCAGGTACCAAGCCAAGCTAAAAAGTTAAAACATGTAAAAAACAAATAAAAAAGGCTGAGTAGAGATGACAGGTGTTGCACACAGCAGTGGAAATACACGCCACAGTCTGGCCCAGGCAAGTTAATAAAATGAACAAACATACTCTCCCTACAATATGAGGGGAGAGCTCAGAATCAAGTCACAACAAGATATTAAAATGCCAACTTTCCTAACCAAAAAGTATGAGATACATAAAGAAACAAAAAAATGTGACCCATATAAAGGAGAAAAAAGCATAGTAAATAGAATCCATTTCTGAGAACTCAGATACTGGATTTAACAGATAAAGGTTTCAAAGCACTCACTATGAATGTTCAGGAATTAAATGAAACCATGTTAAATGGATTAAAGGAAATCGTGCTGGTGATGATTCATCAATGGACTATCAATACAGACAAATTATTAAAAAAAAGAACCAAATGGGATTTCTCAAATAAAAAGACAATAACATAAGTGAAGACTTCACTAAAGGGACCCAAGAGCAGATTTAAAAAGATAGAAGAATCAGTGAATTTGAAGACAGATCAATAGAAATGATGTAATCTGAAGATAAGGAAAAGAGGAAGAAGGAAAATGAAGACATTCTCAGTGGCCTGCAGGTATGCTGACCACAGCACCAGCATACACACAGCATGGCTGCAAGAGGGGAAGAAGGGACAGCCCTGAGGTTCCTCCCTGAGGGAGCTGCCAGGAGCCAACCCACTTGGCCCAACAGCAGTGGCAGACTTTGCTGCCTAACAGGCAGAGGGAGATTCTCCCAGCTTCCTTGGCTCTGTTTAAGTGCAGCCAGGAAGGTGCCTGCAGAAGCCAGCCCCAAGAGTTCCTTCTCCCCACAGGTGTCCAAATCCAGTGCTGTGTGTCCAGCCCGGGTGGAGGTGCACATCAGCCCACCCACCCCATTATCTCTGCAGCCCCACCATTGCTGCAGGCCATGAAGAGGGCAGCCCTGCCCACAGCGAGCTCAACAGAGAATCCTGAACTGATCCCAAAGGCAGTGGCTGAAGCAAACTGCCAGTACAGACAGAAAGACACTCCACCCACTGAATGTTAACAGCTGGGGCCACCACAAAATAGAACCAGGTGCTATAGAGTAAAGAATCTTGAGCTTCTGGGCACCATAGGATGCCTTCTTCATAAAGCTATTGTTCTATAGGCCGGGAAGCATAGCAGAACCATCTAATAATACAAAGGAAGAAACACAAAAACCCTAACAAAATGAGTAGGCAGAGGGATATGATCTAAACGGAACTACAGGACAGAACCCCACAAAGAGGGCTAAATGAATGGAGATCACCAATCATACTGATAAGTATTACAAAATAAAAGTCATAAAACATGCTCACAGATTTACAGAAAAATATTCAAGATCTCAGGGAGGACTTCAACAAAGAGAGAGAGAAGACCTGAAAAAGAGCCACTCAGCTGAAGAATATAGTAACTGAAATGAAACATACAATCGAGGGATTTGGGAGTAGATTGGTGCAGGTAGAGGAGACAGTGAAAGAGATGGAAACTAGAGAACAGGAAAACAAAGAAGCTGAGGAACAGAGAGAAAAAAGCATCTCTAGGAATGAAAGAATGGTAAGAGAGCTATGTGACCAATCCAAATGAAACAATATTCACATAACAGGGTTACCAGAAGGAGAAGAGAAAGACAAAGGGATAGAAAGTCTCTTTAAGGAAATAATTGTTGAAGACTTCCCCAGTCAGGGGGAGGAAATAGATATTCAGGTCATGGAAGCACAGAGATCCCCTAACAAAAGGAACCCCAGGGAAACACCACCAGGATATAAAATAATTAAAATGGCAAAGATGAAGGATAAGGATAAGGATCAAGATTAGCAGCCAGAGAGAGAAAAAAGATAACTTATAAAGGAAATCCCATCAGACTATCAGCAGACTTCTCAACAGAAACTCTACAGGCCAGAAGAGAATGGCATGACATATTTAATGTACTGAAACATAAGGACCCCCAACCAAGAATCCTCTACCTGGCAAGATTGTCATTTAAATTTGAAATGGAGATTAAACAATTTCCACATAAACAACTGTTGAAGGAATTTGTACCACTAAGCCAGCCTTACAGGATATGTTAAAGGACTTCTGTAAATGGAAATGGCCCTAAGGCTAAATAACTTTCACCAGTGAAAATAAACCCACAGTAAATGTAGTAGACCAACTAATTACCAAGCAAGTACAAAATTAAAACAAAAGAACCAAAATCAACTATATACATAATCAGTCAAGGGATACATAAAAAATGCATACTATGACATTTAATATGAAAAATGTGGAGGAGGAAGAAGGAAAAAAACTACCTTTAGATTGTGTTTGAAATAGAGTAACCAACAATTTAAGATAGACTATTATATAGTAAGGAAGTTATCCTTGAACCTTTGCTAACCACAAAATGAAAGCCTACAATACACACACAAAATAAATTAATTTAAAAAAGAGAGAAATCCAATTATAAAACTAAAGAAAAGCATCAATAACAAAAGAAGCTTGTAGGAGAGGAAGAAAGGAAAGAGAGGAGCTATAAAAACAGCCAGAAAACAATTAATGGCAACAAGTACACATCTATCAATAATCACCTTAAATGTAAATGGACTGAATGCACCAATCAAAAGACAGAGTGGCAGAATGGATAAGGAAATAAGATCCATTTATATGCTGCCTACAAAAGACTCAATTCAGACCCAAAGACATACACAGACTAAAAGTGAAGGGACGGAAGAGATATTCCATGCAAATAATAGGGGGGAAAAAGGCAGGATTAGCAGCACCAATATTAGAAAAAATGGATTTCAAAACAAAGAAAGTAACAAGAGACAAAGAACATTACATAATGATAAAGGGGTCAGTCCAACAAGAGGATATAACCATTATAAATATGCACCCAATACAGGAGCACCTAAATATGTAAAACAAATACTAACAGAATTAAAGGAGAAAACAGATTGCAACACATTCATTGTAGGAGACTTTAACACACCACTCACATCAGTGGACTACCAGACAGAAAATAAATAAGAAAACAGAGGCACTGAACAATACATTAGATCAAATGGGCTTAACAGATACCTACAGAACACCCCACCCAAAAGCAGCAGGATATACATTTTTCTCAAGTGTACATGGAACATTCTCCAGAATAGATCACATACTAGGCTTCAAGAAGAGCCTCAATAAATTCAAAAAAGGCTGATATTCTATCAAGCAGCTTCTCAGACCACAATGGCATGAAACTAGTAATGAATTATATGAAGAAAACAAAAAAAGCCTATAGACACATGGATGCTAAACAACATGCTTCTAAATAATCAATGGATCAATAAACAAATTAAAACAGAAAACAAGCACTACATGGAGACAAATGAAAATGAAAACACAACAGCTCAAAATCAAGAACTATCCCAAATAAACAGTCTAAAATCACAATTAAAGAAACTAGAAAAAGAAGAACAGATGAGGTGAAAAGTCAGTAGAAGGAGGGACATAGTAAGATCAGAGCAGAAATAAATAATACAGAGAAGAATAAAATAGAAAAAAATCAGTGAAACCAGGAGCTGGTTCTCTGAGAAAATAAAATAGATAAATCCCTAGTCAGGTGTATCAAGAAAAAAAGAGAATGTACATACATAAACAGAATCAGAAATGAAGAAGGAATAATCACAATGGATACCACAGAAATACAAAGAATTATTAGAGAATACTATGAAAAATTACATGCCAGTAAATTGGACAACCTAGAAGAAATGGACAACTTCCTAGAAAAATACAACCTTCCAAGACTGACCAAGGAAGAAACAGAAAATCTGAAGAGACCAATTGCCAGCAATGAAATCAAATGGGTAATCAAAAAACTCCCAACAAACAAAAGTCCATACACAAATGGCTTCACAGCCAAATTCTACCAAACATTTAAAGAAAAGCTAATATCCGTCCTTCTTACAGTATTCCAAAAAGTAGAAGAGGAGGGAATACTTCCAAATTCATTCTATGAGGCCAGTATCACTCTAATGCCAAAACCAGACAAAGACACCACA